AGCCTGGCTGAAGACCTCACGCAGCTGCTGATCCGGCACACGGAGCTGCTGCTGGCCTATCTTGGGGCTGACTCACTGAGACACGTCGGGGCCTGTGTCAGTGGCCACAGGCCTGTCCTGACCAGTGGGCTCCTGGAGGCAAAAGTACAGTAAGCTTAAAATCCCTGGCAAGTGGCAGGGAGTGCACACAGATGTGCTCTTTTCCACCCTTTTCTCTAGTGCTGAAGCTGCTGTGGCTGTTACTGAGCAAGCATCTGGGAATGCATCGTGTTGCTAAGTATGGAAAAGGACTCAGGGAGGTTAAATGTACATCTGTGAAAAGAACTGGGAAGTGTATTGCTGTATATACCTAAATTAATTTTGCAGCTCAGCTGTCGCTGTATTTATATTTCATTATCCCAAAGCTTTTTTCTGTAATATTCGGGTAAAGTTTATTTATGAAATACTGTACTTTTGCACAAATAATTCGTAAGTGAAGCTGATGGAGTTGTTTCCTTTAAAAGCTTATAGTACAAAATGTTCATTGCAGAGTCTCCAAATCACTAGGTGTCTAGATCTAGAAGGTGTTTTGACTGGGGTGTCTGCAGTCAATGATTCATGTGACACGTGCAATAAAGCAATCACACGCACAGAACTGAACATGTTGCCCCTGCCCCAGAATTCCATTTGTGTGGGTGTAAGCAGCCATTTTGTACTACAGTGTAATGGAGCAGTGCAGGAAATGCAAGCACCATTTGGGCAGGAGTGACTGCCAGTATGCAATTTTTACTTTATTTTGATTTAAAATATCTAAACATCACTAAGGTATTTTAAAATATTTCTTTATATTTGAAAAGCTAGCTTCACCAATTAATTTAAAACTTCCTTGTTTTAAAACCATTACTACTCAATATGGTGGTAAATGAACCAATGTTATTCTCAGTTCATATGTAGCATTTCAAAATATATTTTTAAATAAGTATGTATTATAAGATTTATTAATTATGAAACAGAATTGAAGGCAGTGTTTTATAATTTAATAATTTGTGTCTTCCTCCCTTCTTTGTGGGAAGTCAGGTGTCTGTTTAAGTGGAGATTTATGCAATTGTGGCCATCTCTGTGCAGTGTAAAGCTGTGGCTCAGGCCATGGAACCCTGAACTTCAGACAGGAACACAGCACCTTCAGAAGGCATGAGGCACCTTGCAGCAATGGCTTTTCCTGTTCCAGAGGTGATAAATAATGAAGAGCTGTAATCTTTGAATTTCTTTCAACTGAAGCAATGCTTCACGGTTTGTTTAGTCTTTGAAACTGCACTTACATGCCTCTGCTACACAAAGCCAGCCCACAAGAATCTATCCCATGTCAAGAAATACAGAGTAATTCCAAATATTCAGATACTTGAGAAGCATGTTGTTAAATTCTAGGATATCAAAACAAACTTTGACTAGCAACATTTCAAATTTCATGTCAAACACAACCCAAAAGGATGCTGTTCAAAAGGAGGGCCTGTGTAATTCATAGATTTTACTGAAGCCAGCATTTTGCTCTTTTGTTGTACTCACTTGATAAATACAAAAAGTGATGAAAATGTGTCATATTACTTGTGTGAAATGCCAACTGATTATAGTTTATTTAACAAAAAAGAGTATTCTCTATATGTAATAAACCAGAAATTCCAAATGCTATTCTTGGCCTATTTCCACCGTTTAACTTGATGAGCTTGGCACCATCCTCCTTGCTGTATTTTTTTTTCCTCTGCAATGTGTCTTCAATACAGGCATGTGAAGTTTTTCTTCACCCACCTCACTTAAGTTTTGAGAAGATAAATATGCTTAAGCGATGTGTATTTTGGCAGCTTTTTGCAAATTATGAAAGAAATTATATTTAACAGTAAAGGTGTCTTGTTGGGTTCAGAATCTATAGGAATAGCTGGAAATAGAAGGAACAGAGTGAGTATTCTGCATATTCTAGAGCAAATGTATGACCTCTAGGTAACAGAACAGAGTGTCTGCTGTGGTTTGTCTGGTCTAATTAAATGGCATGAAGAAAATTACACCTTAGCATACATCACAAACAAATAGAAATGCACTTTTTCACTGAATTAAAGGTAATTGAGATTTTCGTATTATTTATAAAAAGCTCTTGAAGAAACAGAGTTGCAGATGAGATTATAAATGTTTCCAGACACTTGGAAAAAATTAAACCTGGAAACTTGGTCTTCTGTCAAAAACACAAGGATTGTTTTAAACACAAGAATAAGAAAAGTCTAATAAAACACCAAACTATTTAGAAAATGGGGAGAACTTCATAATATCTGACTTCAGCATTAGTGTCCCTTTCAAACAGGAGCACATCCAAACACTCACAGAGCTCTCAGAAGTCCACAGAGTTGGGCTGAAAATTGAGCCGATGTATTTCTCATCCAAAATAAGAAGTACAGGATCTGGTTGTTATAAGATGCCACCAACAAACACTTGATTGAGAAACGCTAAAGAAACCAAAAAAAGAAGGGAATAGAGAGACAGGGAGATGTCAGGTACAGGTGGGAAGGCCTTTGATCTCCTCTGAGTCTTTTTCGATCTTTTTCTAAAAAGCGTCCATCTGTTCTGAGTGTGTCGCTAACTCCAGAGAGAGATGCCAGTTTAAATGGGATAAAGCTCTCTCCTTGCAGCACAGAGCTGCAGTCAGTTCTCTTACAGCCTGCCCTTGAGCTGGACACAACATTTGTTGATAACCAGCCGTGTGGCTTAAGAATTCAGGAGTGCACCATCTCTGCAAACACAAGTGCCAGAGCTGCACCACAGCAGTGACAGCATGATGCAGTTCTACTCTAGTTAATTCATAATCAGACTCAGAATTTAGTTTATAGTGTCTGAATTTAGGTAGTTTTGAATGATACTTTCCATCCTAATAAGAACAAACTAAATTTAAAAGCCATCCTCTTCTGCCATAATGGTACTCCTAAGATTAGAAATGCTGAATGCATAGGGATTATAAGGAATCTAATATTTATATCATTTGCAATTTAGTTGTAATAATAATTTTACTTTAAATGTGTTCTTAATGATTATTATTCTTCCTTTTTGTAGTGTTTGGTTTCTATCAAAGTAAATGTGTCAAGTGTCAGTAAGAGTATTTGTGACCTTTCTATTGCCTAAATGAACTGCAGCTGTGTATATAAAATAAAATATTTCAGTGAAACAACTGTTGCTCATATAACTGCATCTGAAACTTGAATTTGAACAGTTTTTGAAATCTAATGCAAAATCACTTAATATGGGAGGAATTTTGAAACCAGTTAGTCATCCTGAAATTTGATTTTTCTGCCTGAAATCAACAAAGAACAACTGTTAGAAAATTTACTATGTAAATTTAAAAACTATTGAATGGGAGCAGCTTTTGGGCTGTCCAGTTTCATTGTATACAGCTGTTACATTGTAACAGCCAAGCTGTTGTCTCTCTACTTGGTTTTAGGAGGCAAATTTTTTCAGGCTGGTTTCCAAGCCAAACTGCAGTGCTGAGTTCCAGTTGTGGATTAAGACTTCCTTTATGGAGTAATACAAATAATGAAATAGAGGACATAAGGAGTCTGACCCCTACTGCTGTAGAAGGGCCATGTGTCCGTGCTTTGTCTGCCCAGATTTGTTTTATGTGTTGCACGTTTGTGTGTTCATGTGCTGAAAGCGGGTGCGTCCCTGGCGGTCCGAAGCCCCGACGCCGCTCCTGGGCTTCAGTGCGAGGGTGGCACTGGGTGACAGTGCCTGCCGTGTCCTTCAAAAGGCAAACGCCTTCTGTGTTTTAGCTTTGATGGCCGTTGTTCGGATCTGCACAGCCTAGGATCATGTGGTGATTGTCCTAATGCTGATAACCCAGCTGAAAGTTAGGCTCCAGTCCGGCAGACACAATACAAGGGAGATAGGAAGAAGAAAGTTCTGCACTGGAAACCTTGCAACTGAACACGTAGGAAAACAGCCATCTTCAAGCAGGAAAAGGAATGTGTTCAGATGCAATAAAATCACGTTTCTGCCTCTGCTTTGTGAAGTTCCCAGCGACAGGCGCTGCTTTGAGCCACCGGGCTCTGCCTCTCGCAGCCTGGCACTAGGGAGATTCCTGCCCGCTCCATCAGCGAACTGTCACATTACTATTATTAGTTGATCGCTCTCCATGTGCCATTAACCGGCCCGTGGACCGCCGTCGGTATAAAACCCCGCGGGCCGGCACAGCCGGCGCAGCGGAGCGCTCCCTGCGTGCGGGGCCGGGGCTGCAGCGGTGGCGGTGAGTGGGGCTGACCCGCCGGCACCGGGCCGGGGAGCTCCGGGCCGGGCCGGGAAAAGCCGCGGTGCTCGGGACCAGCGCGGGCAGGGCGAAGGCGGGCGGCGGCGGAGGCTGCGGGCGGTGGGTGCCGGTGCGTCCCGCCGGCCCGGCCCGCGGA